AAAAAGGAAAATATATCATTTAAAGGGTCATAATCCTATACAAAATCACCTAGGGGGTCAAAATATTCTATTTACATATAAAGGTTTAATTTGAGAGTACCTTATCAAAAAATATCTTCAAAGTGCCTAAATTGTTGTTATTTAGGTTGAAACCTTGAACAAGTAACGTTATTTTAGTAATTAAATTTGTTTAACAGACCATAACGAGTCCTTACTTGTTCAGGGTGAGTGAAATTATTGAAATGCCTCTACTTGTTGTGGGTTTTCTATTAATAAGAGCACTTTGAGGATTTTTTAGAGGGTACTTAAGTGAAAATAAATGTAAAAGCAAACCCTGTACATTTGTTGGGATCATTTGATCCCTTTAAGGGTTTTGACCCCTTAAATGATATATTCCCTTAAAAGAGGAAGACTTTTGGAATATTTATGTAAGAAAAAGAACTATATTATATTGTCATTCGTCTAAAAGAACATTTAATATGAATTAGTATTGGCAAAAGTTTATATAACGTTCGTCTTAAAATGTAGAATTAAAGTGCATCTAAAAAAGTCCCTCAAAAAAGGATGTTTTGATATGGGAAAAACATCTAATTGATCATCTCGACATCGAGATGTAAAAATATGGAGAGATCATGTCAACATTGAGATGTAAAAATATGGAGAAAAGAAAGAGTTGAAGTCCCAAAAATAGTACGTCTTGCAATAGATTATTTGGATTGTTAATTTTCAAGATTTTTATTTGTTTATAGATATGCTTGATTTAAACTATTTTTGGAGTTTAAAGTTTTATAATTAGAGATGAAAAAAATTCTTGTGCTATCTTAAGAATTTGCGATACCAAAATTGCATCTTGTGATCAAATTTGGAGGTGCGACTTTGATTGTTCAAGGTTGCAACCAGTGTTTACAAAATCGAACCGGAACGGTTAACCGAACATGGGCCCGAAAGCGGTTTAAGCCTAACCGGTATACTGGCCGATTTAACCTTTCTAATCAGACAAGTACTTGGTGGTTAAATAAGTGTTGAAAAAATAAAAAAGATACAAAAAAAAATCTACTAAAATATAAAAAGAATATAAAGAATGATTAAAACAAAACACATTCAAATGAAGTTGAAAATTAATGAAAAATAGATTTTAACGAATTATTTTTTGAATTAAAGTAAGTATTAATGACCAAAACAATTTTTAATCTTTAGCATAATGTAAAGAAGATTAGAAAATACATTACAAACCAAATTCCTTATTTTTGAAAATTTATATATATTTATTTGACTTTTTTTTTTAAATATCAGTCGACCACCAAAACCGAAACCGATCAATGGTCAGTTTCGACTTAATCAGATGGTCAGCAGTTAGATCGCCCAATTTTTTCTAACAATGATTACAACCTAATATAAAGCGCAGCCATTAGTATTTTAAAAGACTGGTCGGTCAAAGGGGGTACCCCCGTTCACCCACTTGTTCCAAGTCCACTGGTTAGTTTTTTTTATTTTCATCACAAAATTAAAAAAATTAAAATAACTGATGGGAACCGGTTGTCGAAAATATTGGGTGAGGGTGAAACTCGGGCAAAGAAAAATCAATTCGATGAGTTGCAAGCAAATTGAAGATGAGAGATTTCCTGCTTTCAGTCGTGTCATTATGTATCTCAATACAATTTTTGGCCCCTATTGTTTACAATCAATGTGCATAATTTTTTCCTCTTTCGAAATCTTTAAAACAGATGATTGAACACTTGTCACACCTAATCAATGTATTAAAACAGTGATTTGTGAAAGCATCAAATTTGCTTTTCTTAGGTAAAGAGAAAACAAGTTAAAAAAATGTGTGATATCAAATAATTATTTTGTATTCATTGATTATAGCTGTTAATATAACTGATGAATCAACAGTCACAATGAATTAAAATCACCATCACTCATGAAAATTCTCACAAACGCGGTCCATCGAATAACTTTTTTGATCCTAATATTTCAGAAATTGTTTTTGACACTAGCATTTCTGGCTTACAACTACTCTTCTGCATGGCGTCCAAGAGTTTTGCGCCGATCAGGAACTCTCTCTCTCTCTCTCTCTCTTCATGAAGAAGGTGATGTTGAAGTTGTGTAGCTTGTTCACTTTTTTGGATCCCTTACAGAAATTTATAAAAAAATCCTATGTTATGATCAAAATTAACATGTATATTTTATATTGTAAGATCAAGTCCTATTTATTAAGAATGTGTATTATATTTTAATTTTATTGTCTTTCTTATATATCGGTTTAAGTTCAAATTTCAAAAAGAGAAAATATATAATGGGACCATTTACCTTGATGAGTATTAAATAGTTCTATAGCCGGGATTGAAAAAAAAGCAAGCTTCCGGTCATCTAAAAAACCTGCCCAATATTTGCCACTATAGCCAATTAATTCAAAATTACAAACATGAATAAAAATCCATAGCTTGATGTTCTACAAATATAACACAATATCTTTTTAGCTAGCCCTATATGATGCTTAATCAGATTGTTCATAAACCTTGAGACAAGACTTACAGCAAACATTATGTTAGGTCTTGTGTGAGTTAAATACATTAGTCCTCCAATAAAGTTTTTAAAATATTTTGCATTAACCCCTTTTAGTTTCATTTACGAGTCTCAACTTTTCATTTGCATTCATTGGTGTATCAATTATTGCAACAATTCTAAATGACGAGGTTTTCACGAGTCATATGGATATATTTGGACCTCCTCTAAAATTCACCTTAAAGATGGATTTTTGAGCCGGAATTTTAGGAATTCGTCATCTAAGCCAAGCTGATCATAAATATGAAAAAAGATGATAATGAATATGAAAAAAAAAATGTATTGAACTTTAAACCGTGCCCTTTTTTTAAAAAGTATTTTCAGCATCGTTCATATTTGATTGGACCACCCCGTGCACTTTACACAACATCCATCTCTATGATGATGGATGTTGAAGAGTAAGTTGGTGCAACAGGCTCTTCCTCCCGCTTGCTCGGATCACGGTTAAGATGGACGTTGAAGAGTCAGGGTGCAACATGCTCTTGCACCCGCTGGTTGAGAACACTATTCTTTTTCTAAATGCATCACGGTCGTCAAGATTTTGATCAGGTGCCCAGGTCACCATCCTTACAAAAATGTTTGATATCAAAGTTACAATGAAATCAACTAAATTTTGTACAAGGGGCTCTTAACTTTTGATATAAAGTCAGAATTAAAATTCAATTCAATGGAATAAATGCAATCACAAAATTCAAGAAAATTCTACTAAATGCAACTACCAAATTTTAACATCCAATAGTCAAAATTAACTCACCACTTTGTACCGATAAGTAGTCTCATCATATGCTTTTCCATTTTAATAAAAAACACCCAATCAACTCGTTGAGGTGGCCATCTAGAAATCCAATCTGGATAGATAAATCTAACAAATCGATGAATTCGACAGAGCTTGGCTAAAAATTATAAAAAAATGAAACAACAAAAAATATAATGTGGGAACTAAGAAATCCACCCAAACTAGATGGCCAAGTTCCTTGATGGACAGGTTCCTATAGAACCGGAGGATTCCAAGGGAACTTGACCAACTCCAATTGTGACAAGGAACCAAGTCAGTCGAGACCAATTCCCAATCCAAAACAACAATTCCTAAGCACTAATTAGCCCTTTTTTACACAAAGTCATAAGGCCCTATAATATATATGTAAAAAAAGTTTATATAAAACTGGGGCTCCAAACATTCAAATTAGAACGCACCTCAAATACTTCATTAAAAGGGGTTGTTTTGATGCCCAAATATCCTCAAATTGATCATCTCAATATCATGATGCATGGACGTGAGAAAAAATAGATTTCAAGTTTTGTAAATAGTGAATCTTGCAATGCATTTTTGGACCATCAATTTTCAAGTTTTCATAGATATGGTCGATCTACACTATTGATGCTTGGACATGAAAAACAATGGATTTCAAGTTTATTACATAGTGAATCATGTAATGCATTTTTGGGTCGTCAATTTTCAAGATTTTCAAGTTTTCATAAATCTGTTCGATCTATATTATTTTTTAAGCTTTAAATTTTATAATTAGAGATGAAAACATATTTGAAGGCAATTAGAACAATTTTCAATATTGAAACCACATTTCTCGATACTATTTGAAGGTGTACTCCACTTTGATTGTTTAGAGCCTCGGCTCTATACAAACCCCACCCTTATGGAAAGGATCCGATTTTTATGTGGCCATGCCCGCATACATAGAAATGCAGGCGTATTAATAAATTTATTTTTTCAGATGGATTTTTTTACTTAATTTTTAAGGACATAATCTCTAACCTAGAAATCAAGAATATGAAAAAATAAGCAAAATTTTAAAACTAAAAAATAATAATTCTAGTAAAAAACCATTTGGACCGTTAGTTTCCTTATTTATAGATGGAACACCTTAAAATGGATGCTTTACACTTTTTATAACACTTGTTATATTTGTAAGAAAAAAAACAAAAGAATAGAAAAGAAAAAAAGAAAATACAATAAGGTCATTTACCGCTGCAACAAGGTCATTAACTACCTAAAAAATAAAACCTTGTAACAAAGGATCTGGTTTCTATAATGTTGCAATCTTAGACAATCTAATTAAGGTGCACCTGCAAATTTTAATTTTGACATCAAAAATTCTTAAGACCATCTGAAAATATTTTTTTATCTCTAATTATAAAATTTCAAATTCCAAAGTTGCAATCAAATAAATCTATAAACATATGTAAATCTTGAAAATGGACGGCCTAGATAATGCGTTGCAATATTACAAGATACACTATATAAGGGACTGGATATCAATTATACAGTTTTTCAACATTAAAACACTTTTTTCAATGGGCTTTTGAGATGCATCCTTAATTTTACATTTTACATTTTAAGGTTGTAACTTTACATAATCATTTTCCTGTAACAAATCCCAAACTGTCAGATTTCACATATGTTAGGAGTAATCGTGACATCAAAGGTAAATAGCCTTATCGTTTCCATTCAATTTCAATTCAAGAGCGGGTCCTCAAATGTGCAATCTCCATACAACTCATTCTATGGAGTAGATAATCAATCCTGACCAGCACACAAGTACAGATTACAGAAAGTAGCATGGAACACTTCCTAGAAAGAGAGGCCACAATCAGGCTGGGCTACAAAACAGCGAACAAAGAAACTACTAATCGATAGTGATGAGATGTTCCTCAGGAAACCCGATGCGAGAAACCAAAATAAAAGAAAGATGATAAAGAAAAATCTCAAGGGGAGTCGAAACAGAAACGTAAAACCAAAACTTGTCGCCAATTCAGATAAGGGAATTGACTTGGTGGTGGCAAACAGAGAAAAAGCCTTAGTCCTCTTCATTGATCACCTTGGTGCCAAGGCCTCTCAAGCCCTCAGGCGGCACCTCAGCAACAGTGACAAGAGAGTAGATCTCCTCCTTGGCATCCTCCTCGTCATTGCGCTTGCGAGCTATGCGCAAGCGCACCCTTCTTGGAACACCCCTAATCCCCCGGCTCCATACGTGCTTGTTCAACTTCACATCCACCCTCACATCGGTGGTGCCCATTGCCTTCTGGGTGAACTTCCTGATCTCTTTGATGGCCTTCGGAGCCATCTTCTTGAAGGTGCTGTTTCCATTTCATAAGGCCACACCCATATCAGTTTCTCACACTAGAATGTTAAATGGCACAACTAAAGGTGGTTGGTTTACATAGTATAATGGGTACGGGGATAAATAACACAAATAGCACTAGCAGAAAACATGACAGGCAAATAAAGAGATGCACATTCCACCTAATCCAAAATCAAATTATATACTTATATCATCAGTCTTGCATTCGCTGTGGAATGGACATAATGTTGTGATGATAAAAGAAGTGCAATGTATTTCTACACAAAGAAAGGATTCTTCTTTTCTTTTTTCCTTGATTTCTTTTTAAGAATACCAAAGCAAAGAAGGTATATTACAAAATACAAGGTATATAACTCTTGCAAACATCATGGTTGAATGGAACTGATAACAAGAGTAATACAGTTTCAGGGAAAAGATGGGAGAAGCCAGACCACAAGACCTGAGTATGGAATATGGTACAAAGTCAGATAATTGATCATATATTTTCAATCATGGAGGGTGGAGATTAACCACCCACGATTGAACCTTAAAACAACAAAAACCACGCTTGATCTACACTGGCTACCATTGAGAAAGATAAGGATGCCGTAGATGTGTAACATACACCAGAAACAAATGATATACTTCCCCTAAATGGTTTATCTGAGTTCAATAAATCGATGCCCTGCCTACTATATGTAATGCCTAAGCGGTCAAGCTTATTTTATTCAGATGGTTGATAACATTCCATGCATGTGTTTCATGACCTTGACATCAGAATGCAACTTAGGAAAATGATCAACCCCCATCCATGCTTAGCAACATATATCCATCAAATGAATCACTTTCAGATCATGACTTCAAGTATTGCACATATGTGAACATACAGCAACCTTCACTTCACCCCAGAGATATCGTACATACTATACACTAGTAGTATGGGACTCGCCTGAGTTCACTCTGACTTGGGCGAGTAACTCGGTCTTGCCCAAGTTAACCCCATGTTGTGCGTAACTTGGCGTACATAACAATAATAATAATAATGCCAAAAAAGGTTAAAAATATGGTTATGTTATATGAACTTTTTTGTATATAATTTGAATGTTTTTAGGGACCAAGAAGCAGTTTTCTTTTTATCTTATGTTTGACAAATGGATGACATATATAAAACTTTTAAGTTGTTTTATCTATAAAAGCTCATTTTGAACAAAACATCCACAGATGATTAAGAGAATACAACATGGTTAAAGAAAAATGCATTGCTCAAATAGTTATTTTCGAATTCTACAACACTAAACAAGTGAAAGTGTGATGTTCTAAGAACTATTTAAAAAAATTGTATTATCGAAAGGCGTATAGTATTCAGATGCTTTCCAGATAGATGTAGGTAGGGCGCTGGGTCCAAGTGAAAAGCCTCGGAAACTGGTCAAGTCTACCGCTTCCCGACATTTCTATGTTATTTTCTGGACTCCTATAAGTTTAACCTGCTGACTCAGACTCAGGCCCTGCAAGGTCCATGACCCAAGTCCAATAAAAAACACATGTAGCATATGGTTTGTATGCAACATGTAGCATCAGATCTCCACTATAAACAACGATGGCTGACTTCAACTATTCTTCAGCTGAAGTGGATATTGACAAACTTGGGCAGGCGAGCAGTTCAGATTAGCCATTCATTGTTGACCACGGACGGCTGTTGTTATAGGGGGCCTAATGGAAGGTATGAGTATGTTACCTGTATCATGATACAGTTCCCCATGTGGTTTTATCATGCATCATAATACTAGTTGTAATATTGTATAACAAGCACTATTAACACACTGTGATTGTTACAAATTGATTGTCATTATGCCACTTTATCCTATTGTATCCATACAATTTAGTGATCAATGACTCAAAGGTGAAAACCTAAATCTCTTGATCAGTCAATTGTACGTCCCACCACTACTATGTATTTGACAGAAAACCTAATAGAAGTATTGAGTTATTTTGAAAAACTGATTGACATGATAGTTGTCAGTATTTTGCTAATTTGCCAATTTAACTAAAAATGTTGCTTAATTTTTCTAAAGTGTTGCTTAATTTGCTATTCTGACCATATTTCAAGACCATCATAAATCACGAAAAATAAATTCCTAAATAGGCGCCAAATATGAAAGAAACAGTATATATATCAATGTATTTCAAGTAATTCAGTAATTTACAAAAACCTAGAAATATAATTAATACCACAGATTTACACAGGTGACTTCAACCATCAAATCGCAATGCAACAAACAGAAATTGAAAAAGTCCTAAATAGAAGAAGAAGGCAGTTTGACGTGAACTTGCTTTAATTCATTAAACCGCATAAAATGTAAAATATGGGGAAGTTATTAAATTATTTGTTAAAAATCTATGCAATATCGATAAGGTGTAAGTCAAGGTAAATTTGACACGACCAGCAAATTACAGCACAGAAAGCCAGAAAAAAAAAATGGAGTAATAGGAGAAAAGGAGAAAGCACCCAAGGATCAATGGGACTAGGTTAGCAAGAAGGAATATAGAATAATGCACTAATTCAATTATAGAACAGAAAGGACAGCAAATAGAATATCACCACAAAAGCTCAAAACTGGCTTGAATCAATCCGAGAAAATGAGCAAATCGATTTTGGTAGTCTTACCATTCGTCCTTTTAGCAAGCAATAATATATAATACTTATGCACTAGAAAAATCAGTTTTAGAATAAAAGTGAGTCCTAAAAAGAAATATCATCATCAAATCTCACAATACACTATAAGTAACAGGAATAAAACCATATTTCTCAAATGGTTTCAGGTTCGTTGGCAAGTCTATCATTTGTCCCAAAGACCAAGAGACAATAGCAAACAAATTTACAATTGAGCCATATTTTGAACTGAGTCAACTGACCATTGTGGGCCTTCTGGATCATTCAAAATGCGCAAAACCAATATCCACTAAAACTTACCGTAACATAACACAATAAACCTGTAAAAGAACATAGTACAGAGCACATTTTTAGGTAGACCCTTTAGCACCTACAATTACAGTTGCAGAAACACTTTCAGAAAATGCTAGATTTAAAACAAGAAATTAGGTTTCCATTTTCTACTTTTTTTTCAGGAAGGAGAAGAACCAAGAAGGAAGAGAGAATCAATCTGTGTTTTTACCAGCCATGAAGGCGTTTATGGAGGTTAATCGTATATTCACGAGTGACAATGTCCACCCTTCTTGCCTTGGTCTTGTCCACCATCGCTGCAACCTCACCTCAAAACCCTAACCCTATTTTAGCACACAGAGAACAAGACAAAAGACAAATCGGTGGTTAGGGTTCGGTATTTATGTTCACGAGCTGTGTAGTGTATCCAGTAGATAGACTCCCATCTCACCGTCCGTCAATGATTAAAGGTGAATGAAATTTTGGGTAAAGGAAAATTGCCTCATGCGGGCTGGACCGCATTCCTACAACATGCATAAAGCATTCATCTTAAAGATGGATGATGCAAATAGGTGGTTAATCTAAAAACAAGAGTAACTAATAATTCAAATATTCTTTTAATATAATTATTATTATTATTTTTTATTTTTCATATTCATGTTCTTCATATTAAAGATTATATATTTTCTAAAAATTAAGATGGAATTATATTTATTGCCAAGCTCACAGTTCTACAATATGCGGACTGGCCGTATAGAAACCGTATCCTTGGTAAATATCCCTCTCGATGTTTAAAAAATCTCGTTATATTTTGAAATAAATAAGGTTGACGCCCTAAACAATCAAATTAATATGCACCACAAAAATTTACTAGAAAAGGTTATCTTGATATAAAAGAAACTCTCAAATTGATCATCTCGAGATGTATAGATGTGAAAAAAATGGATTGCAGGGAAATAGTGCATCTTGTAAGGCATTATCTTGGCCATTAATTTTCAATAATTTAAAGTGTTCATAGGTCTATTCGATTTACACTTTTTTTTAAGCTTTAAATTTCTTGATTAGAGATTAAAATAAATTTTTAAACCATCACAAAGATTTTTACAATTGAAAAATCACCTTTCGATATTATTTAGAGGTACGCCTTACTATGATTGTTTAAAGCCTCAACCAGTAGACACCCCATCCCTATCTTAAGAAATTCCAGGAAACCGAAGACCCAGAAACTAAAAAACCTTGAAGTCATCTCATAACCATAACCATAGGTCTTAGGATCATCAGACTTTGATCAATCCGTATACGATTCTCACACCCATAACCTTCAAAGCTGGCACTCTGAAGCTCAAGCCTTACAGACCCTTCAAGAATCAGTCTTTTATACCCAAAAGAGATTTTAAATGAAAGTAGAGGTTACAAGCTTTTCAATGGCTTAAGAATTGCTTAAATACGATACATAGTTTAGAAGTAGAAATTTGTTAAAAAAAATAACGTTGTACTCGCCGACAGCAGGAGACGAATGCCCGAGTGAGTACCACCAATGCTAAAAAACCAGAGACACTAATGTTGCGCTAGGGCCAGCCGGAGATGGTCGAGAACCAGGGAGTCAGGACTACCAACGCCCACGCCGTGAACAGCAATGGTGGAGGAAAAGGGGTACCCCCCAAACACCAAAGTCAAGTCAGGACCAGGGACACTAAGACCTGCTGTCATTAACAG